GGTGAGATTTGAACCGCTGAACTGCTGATCTAGCAGTAGCCTGCAGTGCTGCATTTAACCACTGCGCCACCTCAATTCTCCTGCTGCCTCCTTTAGAGCCCGAGAAACTATAGAGCCATGATAGTGAACCAGTGGCGGGTTCAGGCGGTTCAGGCGGTACGAGCATACCGGTGCCTGCTGGGAGCACCAGGTACCAGTCCAGTACGGTGCTCTGGAGAGCCCACTCTCCCGCCTGCTCTCCTTACTAGTATTTGAGCTGTTCAGGGCTTCCGAGCACGCACACGGAGCTTACGGCACCTGTGCGATGCTCTGTCGAGCAGCTGGAGAATCACGGGCAGTAAGTATGCAGGTGCACGTTGCGCGTGTACGCGTGCATGCTGAGCGCCTTCATGTGGTGGTCGCCGAGCCCCGTTGCACAGTACTGGTTGCAACAGGATCTGGAATCCACCACTGTAGTGAGCCAATGATGTGCATGCTGGAATTGGCATGCAACTGTTGCCCATTGGTCTTCAGGGTTCTGGTGCACGCGCCAGGCAGCTGGTCTTCGCCCCCTGAGAGAAACCGAAAGAGCAGTTTCCTGGCATGCATGCACGTGGTGGCCAGATGGTCTTCGTATGCACATGCACATGAGAAACCGGAAGTCCAGGTGGCTGGCATGCACCCATGCGCTGGAAAACTGAGCTTCCAGCTTCCCACACGTGCACATGTGCATGCACGTATTTTGACACTTGGTGCCTTTTCGGCATGCACACACTCCCGTTTCATCACTTGATGCCAAAAAGGTTAACCACCAATGCTATAGAGAGTCTCTCCTGATCGTCTTGCATCTCCCTGCTATCCAGCTGCAGGGTCTATTGTCCCTTATCTGACTTCCGTTTGGCAGGTTCTCTTTGCCCAATTTTTTCTTGGCCCTTTCTACATATCCTTATTACATCATCGCCATCATAGCAATAGAACTTAGACTTATATACCACTTCCCAGTGCTTTACAGCCTTCTCTAAGCGGTTTACAGAGTCAGCATATTGCCCCCAACAATTTTAGGTTCTCATTTTACCCACCTCAGAAGGATGGACCTTATCTTTTAATGATTTCAATAATCCCTTGTGGGGTGGAGTCTGGGCAACTGAATGGAGCTGAGCATTTGCTGGACGAATGCCCTTCCTGTCACCAATGCGGAGTTCTTTTCAGCAGATATATTCTCATTATGCCCAGAGAGAGAAATATCAGCCTCTCCCTAGGCTCGAACTCATAGCCTCCTGATTGTGAGGTGAGAGCTGCACCTCTAGGCCCCCATACCACTCACATACCATTACTACATAAAGGTAGCATATTGTAATGAGGTGAACCATTTCTGTTCCAGGGGAGATACACCTCAAAGCAAGTGCAGAGGCCGTGACCTCAGATCAGCTCTGTGGAAATGAAGTAGTGGAGGTGCCCAACGTTGGAACCAAAGACACCGTGATCAAGTCATTATTAGTTGAGGTATGTGGGATGCTTTAAACCCAGGCTGGGTAATGAGGTGACACAGACGTCTGGGTAAAGCGGTGGTGGATATCTGTGCTAAAATGTCAGAGATGATTCTGAGGAAAATACCATCAGCCAGCAATTTATCCCAGTTAGTAGAATTTCCCAGATCAAGAAAAGAAGCTGTGAGATTACCAGAGGTGGTAATTCCTACCAGTTCGCACCTATTCAGTAGACCCAGTTCGTCAAATCTACCAAACCGGTTAGAAGAGGTTCCACCA